TTCATTAGGGAAAAAAAAAAAAGCTACAAGATGATAACCATGAACTCAAAAGAGCGGAGTTAGCGTCAGCCTCTGTGATGGTTCAAATCGCATTCTGCCCGTGCTGTGCCCCAGAACCACGCAAAGACCTGAACTGTCACGCAGAAGACAAAGCCAGGCGTCAGAAGGACTGCCTCCCACTTACCAAGGGGATCCTGCGGAGACACCCCAAGTAGAGAAGCAGTGGGCCTCTAGCAAAAAGAGGGGGCTCGACCCAAGAGAAGACTGAGCAGGGCAGAGAGGCAAGCTGGTCCCTCTATAGGGCGTCTCCTTGCAGGTCCCTCGTGGTCACCAGGCTGTAGCCTAAATAAAAACAGGTAGCAATCAGAGAGAGAGAGAAAGTGAGAGAGGGAGAGAGGGAAAAGGAGAGGGAGAGGGAGAGAGGGAGAGAGAGAGGGAGAGGGAGAGGGAGAGATGGAGAGAGGGAGAAGGGGAGAGAGAGGAGACTCCCTAAAGAATAAAGTGTATTTGGGAATACCAGAGCATTGCAATAGAAATTCCGAAATAAATATTCCTTTGAAAATCTCGGGACCGGCACTGTTGCATAGCGGGTAAAGCCACCGCCTGTGATGCCGGCATCCCATATGGGCACCCGTTAGAGTCCTGGCTGATCCACTTCCAATCCAGTTCCCTGATAAAGCTCTTGGGAAAACAGTGGAAGACAGCCCAAGTCCTTGTCCCTGCACCCACGTGGGAGACCTGGAAGAAGCTCCTGGCTCCTGGCTTCAGCCTGGCCCAACCTGGTTGTTGCAGCCTTTTGGGGAGTGAACCAGTGGATGGAAGATCTCTTTCCTTCTCTCTCTCCCTCTCTGTAATTCTACCTTTCAAATAAATAAATAAAATTTAAAAACGAAACAACAACAAAAGAGCACAATTATCACATGATCTAGCAATTCTACTACTTGGAATATATCTAAAATAATTGAAAAGACAAGAAAACCTCACTGAGTGCTGTTCATTGTGTTATTTTAGGTGGACAACATGGGACATACTTTGTCTAAAAACTCCCCATTGTCCCAGGCAGAGTCAGGCGCTTCCCGACCCTGACATAGCTGGTGGAGAGAAAGGGAGGAGGCGGCCTGGGACTTGGGCTCAGTGTCCTGTGCAGGCTCCTGGTCCTGGATGCACAAGGCGCCAGCCTCCCTCAGCCCGGCCACGTCCAGGGTGGCCCAGGGCCTGCAGCAGCACTAAAACAGAGCCCTGGCCAGTGCCCATGTCCCCTTCTGTCCTTTCCCGCATCTCTTATTGGCCCCTGATTTCCTCAGCTCTCTC